CAGCTCTATCGATTCTCAGATCACACGGTCACAGCTACTTACGTAATCACATTAAGTGCAAGCTCAGGAGAGTGACATCTCTCTAACTTTTGTTTCAAAATAGCAACTTCTTCAGATCTGGGTGGTTCATACTTTTTTACCAAGTTTCTCATACCTATATGTAGATTTAAGAGAATTTAAAATGAATAACGAAACACTTGTCATACTAAAGGGGTCAAATAAATGCTAGTTTATTTGTTAACAAGAACAATAGCAAAATAATCTTGAAAAAAAGATGTAATTATTATTCTGAGAGTTTTGTGTCCTTCATTAAAACCAGTGAGCACTGTATTTCTTAAGTAATTGTGGCAGTCTGTTATTAGGTTCAGATCTAATACAATAAACATGGAATGCTCTGTCTACCATCTACTCTGCCTACCATCTAGTCAGTATTAACTTTATGGAAATCCTACCAGAAATTATTTGCTCGATTTTAGAGCCTTTTTTCTTTTTTAAAAATCATTTTATTAGGGGCTCAAACAACTTTTACAATAATCCATATATACATCAATTGTGTAAAGCACATTTGTACATTCATTGCCCTCATCATTCTCAAAACACTTGCTCTCCACTTATGCCCCTGGCATCAGCACCTCATTTTTTCTAGAGCTTCTTTTTAATCCCCCGATGATTTAGTGAATACCGCCAACCATATTTATAACATTTCATCCCTTCAGATGGTGGGCCATGAGTATAATTCTTGTGTCATAAAAAAACCATTAACAGATAATAAAGGGAAAATGGTTACTTTAGCAACACAAAGCTGTACAAGAAATATCACAAGAAAACCCAAAAATAACCTCTCTAGGCTTGTCAACTACTCTATTAATAAATTTATAGTGACAGAAACATCCTCCGTGTGTTCTTCAAGTATAATCAATCAAAGAATGTAAATCTTTTATGGGAACAAGAGATGTAAGGTTATTACCAGAATTGTACTGGGTAACTGTGCTACTGACCTATTTTATAATCCAAATAAAACTGATTTTAAATGAGTTGGTATTTGTGACTCAGTACCCTTAGGGAGAAAACTATGGATAAAAACAGTTTCTTA